GGGGGGGGTGAGGGTGGGGGCTGGGGGAACGAAACGAACACGAACACACACAGCCACAAAAAGGTCATTCATGTGTGTTTGTTGATTGGGGGGGTGTGGTGGTGGCTGGCTGGCTGGCTGGCTACTCATCCATCTCTCTCTCTCACTGGTACTCGTGAGCAACAACTTTCTACAACAGAGACAGACACCGATAAAGGACCCGCGCGCCAATCTTGAGGGACAACGAGGGAGGGAGAGCGGGACGATCCCTAGCAAAGGTAGACAGACAGACAGACGGACGGACAGACAGAGAGGTTGCATATTCCACAGACGACAGACAGAGCGTTAAGAAGCGTTAGGACACAGATATGAACGATGCTATGATGCAGACAGAATATCACACAAAGCATAATATTATCCATACGCACTGATGATCAGTCAGTCGAGTGAGTGAGTGAGTGAGTGAGTGGGGGTGGATCGACGACACGGCCGACAACAGTCAGTACTGACACACACGGGTTCTAGAAGGTGCAAGATGCAGGCAAGTCGTGCAGTGGGCGCATCGCATCGCCCGAGAGGTTTGAAAGCGTGTCAGGCCGCCGTACACATGGCTCCCCTCTCTCACACGCACACGCACATACACATGCACACGCACCCTACTACCCTTGACATCGCTCCACAGCACACCACATCACACCACACCACACCATCGTCAGTCAGTTCAAAAGGTTCAAACAACAGCCTTATGGATACAATTCATGTCCCTATGTGTCGGGAAAACTCTGCCCTGGTGGGCGGGGGAGTGACTGAGTGAGTGAGTCAGTCGCGGGCAGGAAAGATACATACATCGGGACGCACAACAACACAAGAGCACAAGCGGAGAAAAATACTAGATGAGTGTGTGTGTGTGTGGGTATAGAAACAAACAAACAGACAGACAGAGACGTACACATGAAGGAAGGTGGGCAGGCAGGCAGGTAAGTGTAAGTGTCTCTCGGGGGGCTGGGTGTGGGTGGTGTGTGGTGTCTGTCTAGCTAGACGGAAAAACGGTTCGCAGGTTCTTTCCTCCCTCCCTGGCTCCCTCCCTGCGTCATATCAGGTTACTTACCTTTCCCGCCACGTTCAGGTATATTCATCCCCATCTATTGATGCCATCCATCCACGCGTCTGTTCCATTCGTCTCTCTCTCTCTCTCTCTCTCAGCCTCCACAGTCAAGTCAACAACAGGCAGACTCAGACACGGCCACAGTCAGCAAGCCAGTGGGGCAATGAGTCGATCGGTTGGTCGCATCCCACATCCCCCAACCATCCCATTCACCCGGCCACCTCGGCAACCACAGAGTCAAAAACCTCATCAGCGCCGTCTCGCGGACCTGACACATACACACCACACATACACACTTCACACATGCATCCCTCCCTCCCTCAATCTCTCTCTCTCTCTCTCTCCTCTTCTCTCTCCTCGGCTCAGCTCACCTTTGAGGTAGAGGTTGACATCCGAGAACATCTTGATGGGCGGCTTGGTCGGGGCCTCGGCCTCCGTGTCGTCGATGACCTTGAACTGCGCGTCGAAGAAGTGTCGCTCGTCATCGTTGTAGCCGTCGAGGTCGCTGGGCCGTCGGGCGGTGGTGGCGGGGGTGATGGGATCCTCTTCGAGCAGCTCGAAGTTGGGCGAGTTGGGGCACCAAAAGAGGTTGTTGGACGTCACGCCCAGACCTGCACACAGGCGGATGGGGGGAGGGACGGGGGGAGGGATGGGGGGGTGGGTGAAGCAAGCCCCGCATGGCATGATGACATTCCCCTGACCGACCGTTGAGAATGTGCTTGAACTGGTTGGAGCAGTGCTTCCAGTACTGGGCGTCCTCGTACCTGCAGCCATCAACGCACTCACACACACGCAATCAGAGAGACCTGCAGGAGCTTTGTGAAAGCGTCCGTACATTCTGTCTGGGTCCATGTCGTTGTTGAGGTGAATGACCTCTGGCAGGTCAGCGAACTCCGACCCCGCCTGCTGCGACATGAGCATCAGCTTCATCGGCTTGCCCTGACGCTTCTCGCGAAGCTTCGACAGCAAATCCTCGATCTCGCCGCGGGTCGCCTCGCCCGTGCGCACAAACAGCACCTGCAACACACACATTTTGGTGGCGTGGCATATGTGTGTGTGTGTTTGGGGGGGGGAAAGTCACCTCGTCGGCTCTCTGCACGGTGTAGTGGAATCTGTTGGCCCTCTGTGAGTATCGTTTCTTCATGCGTTCGAAGACGGGCCAGATATTCTCGACGGGGTCGTCGCCCTCCTCCACCTCGTGCGCATACGACAGGCCGTGCCACTTGTTGTGGAACACTCGACCCTACACACACACACACACACGGGAGTGTGGGCAAGGAAACGAACGGGTGTCTGTGCGCGGAGACGTGTACCAGGTCGTGGTCGTAGTAGAGCATTTCGGGGTTCCACATGTCAGTGAAGTCGCTGGCGATCATGTCGGACACATCGCAGGTGAACGAGGTGCGCGTGAGGTCGAAGGGGTAGCAGGGGCCGTCGTACTCCACCTTGTGCAGCAACATACGAGCCGTGCAACGCGCGCCGAGCGGCACGATCTGAGACACACACACACGCACACACGTGGGGTTGTTGCAAAACCGGTGTGTGTGTGTGTGCGTGTGGATGGATTGATGGATGGATGGATGGACTGGCACTCACCCCAACTCGTGTGTAGTCGCTCAGCCTTCCTGCGTGTCGGTACAGCACGGCACTCTTGGGCGCGGCCTTGACGCTGAAATGGATGGCCACACACAGAGAGACGATGCAGCCATCATGTCTGTTGCTTGTCTTTGCCAGCCACCCACCTACCGTGAGAGAAGTCCCGACTTGCCGATGAAGAGAGTGTTGAAGTCGCCTGTGGGGTCGAGTGAGTTGATGTAGGCGCCCGTCCGCAGACCCTTGAGCGACGCCGACAGGTCCACCCACATCGGCTGACATATCGACAGACAGACACATCGGGATGTCTGTCTGTCTGTCTGTCTGTCCGTGTGCCTGCCCCGTCACAACATTAACAGACGTACGTGCACGTTGTATTCTGCGTCGGTGTTGTTGACGATCCGCAGAGAGGGCGGCGCTGACGACTGGCCGTCATCATCCTCCGCCTCGGTGAGTATGCCGATGTTGCCGTCGTAGAACAGCACCTGGCACACATGAGGGGAGAAGAAGTGGAAGGCCGCTATGTAGTCCACCACACTCGCCGGCGGAACGTCAAAGGACGTCTCGATCACACCGCCCTCTCCGAGAGAGAAAAAGGCGAAGGGCTTGGTGCTCTGCGCCTTCTTGCCGTTGCCCTTGCCGTTGCTGAGGGCGTCGGCAGCAGCAGCGGCAGCAGTGGCAGTAGGGACCTGGCAGAACTGAGTGCCGGGGTCGTGCCTCGGTGTGTCGTCGCCCGCTGGGTTGAAGATGTAGATGCCTGGCGTGATGGGCGAGGGGCTGGCCGACTGCATCGCCTGCAGCCATCCCATCCCACGACACACACAGGGAGGATTGCGATTGTTGTCATGCGAGGAGTGGGTGTGGGTACCTAGGTACCTGTGTGAAGCCATTTTGCAGCGCGGGCCAGCTGTTGCTGACGCTGTAGCTGTGGTCGGTCTTGTTGACGAATTTGATCTTGTGGGTGCCGCCCTTGCTCCGCGCCCACACGTCGAAGCCCTTGCCGTCGGTGAAGACCAAATGGGCGTGGGGGAAGGGGTCGCCGTCATGCGTCGGGGAGTCGGGCTGCACATGGCGTTACATTGCGTTGCAGGCAGGTACACATCACACCCACACACACACAAAAAGAAACTCTCTCTCTCTCTCTCTGTGAGAGTGTGTGTGTGTGTGTCACCTCACTTACCCACCTGCATCATTGAGTGTGACAGCTGTTTCTCCAGCCGTCTGTTGCCGGCAGTCCCTCCCTCCACCACCACCGTCTCCGTGTGGAAGAGGCTCAAGTCGATGCTCTCAAACATCAGCCGGTGGCCCTTGCTGTTGGGGTGCGCCGGGTCGAAGCTCACCCCATCAAGCCACTTGCCCGTCCCGCCTTTGGCCTCGAGATTGGTCAGGAAGTCGAGCACGGGCACGCCCCAGCCCTTCATCTTGGCCTCGGTCTGCTTGAGCAGCGTGTAGTGGTCCTTTGTGTAGTCGCCGTTGGGGTACACGCCGCCGAGAACGGGCCGCGCATTGATGTCCTTGATGAGCTGGATAAGGTGCTGAATGCCCGACTCGAACCGCTGCTTGGCGGCGTGGCGCTGGTGGGCCGGACAATGAGCCAGACCCTCGTTGCCCAAGGACAGACCGACAATCACTGCAAGCATCCCATCCGGGAGGGGAGGGAGGAGCCGTGTGGGCGTGTGGTGTGGGTGGGCAATGGTGGGGGTGGTTGGGTGGGTGTGCGTACCAACTTCAGGTTTGTGTTTGGGGACGACTTGGTGGAACCGCTCGATAGTGCGGCCGACGTTGGCCCCGCTCTCACTCTCGTTGATGAGCTGGTGGCCGTACTGCTTCGACAGATGCTCACCTGTGCCGACACGACACCAACACACACATCCACATGCACAGTGCTTCGCGTGCTTAAGGGATCGTTTCCCCCACCAAGCAGCGTGGCCCATCCGCGCATCTTCCATGAGTTGTAGCCGTACGCAACCGAACTGTACACACACACACACACACACACACACAGAGCTCAGACGAACGAATCTCGCTGTATCCCCCAAAGCCGCCTGAAGGGATCCACGCGGCGCCCACCTGCCGATGACGACAATCTTGAGGCCACCCCGTGTGGGCGGGGGAAATGTTGGGGGCGCAGGTACTGTCTGTGGGGGTTTGAGGACAAAGCCAAAGGGGTGGGGCTGGATGTACCCAAAACCACCGTCGTCAATGATGATGTCTGCACACATACACACACACATAAGGGAGGGCACACCGAGCTCAGCTCGGCTGCAGTAAGTCCCGCGCGCTGACCTTGGTCTTCTACTGGTACCCATCTGTTCTCGGTGCAGCCGTCCCCCTCCCAGACGGTCTCGCCGTACTCGGTGAACCTCACGTACTTGTACTGCACCTTGCCACCCACCGCCACATGCTTCGTCACCGGCACCAGCTTGGGTGTCCACCACAGGGGGTACTGCCCGCTGCCCGTCGTAAGCTTGACGCACTTCGTCACGTCCCAGCTGCCCAGCTCTGCTCGTACACACACACACACACAGATGAGAGTCATTGCTGGCGTGTGTTTGTGTTTGTGTGTTTGTGTGTGTGTTTGTGCCTTTTCTGTTTGTGCGCACCAGGTATAGAGCCGACGATGCCGATGCTGTCGCCGAAGCTGGTCTCGGCCCGCACCTGGAACTTGTACATCGCCTCCAGAAAGTCAGCGGGGCGAGGGGCTCGGAGGCCGTGGGGCGAGTCGGGCTGGGCGGGCGAAGGGATACCAACGATAGATCAGCGAATTGCAAACGTCATCGCTTTCCGCTTCCAGTACACCTGCCGCGCGAGCTTAGCTCGCAGGGGAAAAGAGCTGACGAGGTCAAGGGGATGGAGGTGGAGGCGGACACACAGGGGGAGGCAGCCCCACCAGATGACAAGAAAGAACAACAGGGGGCGGCCGACAACGAGCCCGGCAACGGTGCTGCAGCTGCACCACAGCCGGATGCTGCGGAGGACCAGAAGGCCACAGAGGGGACGGCGGTCGAGGACAAAGACAAGGGAGAGGGGGACAAGCAAGACGCGACGACGGATGAGCCGGCACAAGAAGACAAACCAGCGAAAGACGAGGATGCAGACAAGCCCCAAGGGCAGGAACAAGCAGAACCCCCGGCCGAGCCAGCTGCCGAGGAACACAAGGAAGAAGCCCCTCCCAGAGAGGCGGCGGAGACAGATGAGCCCCAGGCAGCCGATGAGAAGCGACAAGGCGGCGGAGAGAGGGAGGGGGAGAGGGAGAGGGAGGTGGAGGGGGAGGGGGAGGGGGAGGGAGCGGGACAAGTGCCAGATGAGAAGGTCGAAGAGGCGGCGGCTGAAGGTGGGGAGGGGCCGCAGCCGGAGGGAGAAGGTGAAAGTGAAGGTGGGCCGCCGCTTGTGACTGAGACGGCGAATCACTTGAGAAATGACATTGAGCGGACTGCACAGACAACAACATCGGCAGTCCTGACGCTGCAGCAGGCTATCGTGAGCAATGCCATTCCGTATCTGCCAAAGACGTTCGTTCGCGTGTCCATCGATTTCCTTCTCGTGTCGTGTAGGGCCGCCTTGGTGTGTCTGCTGATCTGGTGGACGATCCAGCAAAGAAGGAGGAGATCAAACAGGCGCAGCAGTAAGCCAACCAACAAACGTGAGATGGATGGCACACCACAGACACTTCTCTCTTGCCGGTGTTTGTTTGTTTGTCATGTGTGTAAGGTCGCTGCAGGAGGCCGCTGATGAGCTGGAGCGCCTCCGCGACTCACTCCAGCAGCCAGACAGCGCCAAAGCGGCCGTGGTAAGCGACACGCTGAGCATTCATGTGGGCCGTGCACAGTTCAGGTGTGTGTGTGTGTGTGTGTGGATGTGTGGGTATATCAATCAGAGTGCGTCAGAGGAGGAGGACAAGGGCCCGACGCCGATGCCTCCCGTCAAGGACCTCCTCGACAACCTGGACAGGAAGCAGGTAGGGCGCGATTGCGACACAAGACGGGGGAAATCACGCCTCGCCTCGCCAGGCTCATTTGCTGTCTGTGTGCCTGCAGGTGCCTTCAGTGGTGGGGTCGTCATGCAAGGACGCAACGGGAGAGGAGCCACAAGACGCAAGTCAGTCGGTGATCGGGAGAATCTGTCCATTCTACCACCTTACTGTCTGTTTGTCTGTGCGCTGTGCAGGCGAGCTGAGTTTCGACGAGCGGGCGATGCAGGAGGTCAGTGAGAGGTCCACGATATTCCACACGAGAAAGGATCTGGTGTGTGTTTGCGTGTCTTACCAGGACATGGACAGCCTGCGTCGAGTGCGTCGGCAGCTGGAGTGTGACGCAGAGGGGCGCGACCTCATGGTCAGTCAGCACATGGCGGGCAGGTAGCGTGTATGTCAAACCATACATCTATTGCCTGCTGCTGCAGGAGGGTGTTGAGGCGCCAGTGTATGAGGCGGACTATGTTGACGACGACCTATCGGAGCTGAAACGAGTCAGGAGACAAATAAGGTCGGTCCGTCATTGTCATCCCTCTTAGTCGTCAATCCATCCATCCATCCATCCATCCATCTGTTTTGTCCATGCAGGTATCTGTTTGGCGGTCTGCTGCAGTCCCTGCCCGCACAAAACGCAGAGTGAGTAGGGCCCTATAAGGGGCTGCGGATGACGCGCTGTGTTCCCTGCTCACGTGTGAGTGTTTGTCAGGACTTTGGCGGAGCAGTTGAACCTGCCCAAGTTCCCACCAGACCCCAGCGATTTGTCCAAGGTAACTAACACAAAAGGATGAATCGATTCGATCGACGATGTCTCTTGCCCATCCATCCATCCATCCACCTATACGCATCATTCGTGTGAAAATGGTCAGAGTGCGACGCCTGTGGTGAGCGGCAAGGAGGATGACCGGCCACTCGTGCCGCACAGAGACGACTACCGTAAGTCAGCCGAGTGGTCACCTTCGTCTGGCAAATGGACAATTTATTGCCTGGGTACCTTCTGTCACCACCTGCAGGCCCTGCCCGCCCACAGGGCAGGCATCGCGAGTCGCGCAGCACATTGGACGGCGGGGTGGTGAGAGGGCGGGGCTATGGAGAAGAGAGGGAGGGCATGCTGGATGAGGAGACGCAACCAGAGGACGACAGCACCAGCGGAGGCAGACGCAGACCCTCACATAAAGTGTGGCAGCTCGGTCCACAACATACAGACGCGCAGTCATTCGACGCTGGGTCCTTTCTGTGTTTGTTTGTGTCAGGGTGTGCGTCGCGGTGAGGAGGCGAGGCCACCTGGCGGTGATTGGGCATCTGAGGTCATCAAGTTGAGTCTGGACCCCGACAACCAGTGGGAGTGGGGCAGAAACAGGTCCATGCAGCCATACGGTCAGTCAGTCAGTATGGGCAGCAGCCTGCTGCTCACGGACATCACACGCAGTTCCATCATCCATATGCATTCACGCGCATGACATGACAGGTCGCGGTGACCCCTCTCAGTTGTTGAAGGAGTTGGATTTGTCGTATGGCGTCAAGGACCGACAGCGCGCCTCATGGGAGACCCCACACACATCCAAGGCGGGTGGACCGCCAGCCGACCTGCCCCCGCCACGCGCAAAAAGACCTTCTGCGTACTCGGGTACAGATGAATAAGATCCGTTCAACTCAACAGGCAGCCCAGCCAGACACATATGTATATGTTCATCCATCTAGCCATTCGTTTGATTGATGTGCCTGCCTTTCTGTGGTTGTGTGTGTAGGTGAGAGCCGCGGAGAGAGTGAGGAGGTGCCGCCTCCCATTTCATACGCCAAGCAGCACAGCGGCTATGCGCGTGAGCAGCCCGCCGCCGCCAAGAGCAAGCAGCGAACCCAGCAGCAGCAGCGGGGGCAGGTGAGGTGTGTGGACAGCGGAGGGATCGGAAGGAGGGAGGGCTGCACGGGAAGACCACGAGCCAAGCCACATTGCTTTCCTCTGTGTGATGTTGTGTTGTGTTGGGCTGTGTTGGGTTGGGTTGTGACTCCTCAGTTGCAGCCTGAGGGTGGTTATGCGGCTGTTCAGCCGGCTCGGGAGAGGAGAGGCCGTGGGGGCTACTAGACACACACAAGCAGACATGATGGATGGATGGCTGGATGGATGGTCGGGTGGACGGTCATGTGGGTCTGTCGGTGAGTGTGTGGATCGAAGTTGACCAGATAAGAATGAGACGATCTAGATGTGTCAGTCTGTCGTCGTTGATTTCTTGGCTCATTGATGAAGCAATATACCAATCGAACTGAGAGACAACCAAGAGTATTGATTGCACTACGCGCCGACCCACACTCCTGCGGGCAAATGAGTGAGTGACACAAGGTTGCACACGATGGACGGCATCAGATTTCCTATTGCTCTGTATGTGTGTCCTGTCTTGGTGAGCGAAGAGTCAGAATTGTAGGCACGCACCAAGCCCCTGCACCATACGCAACACATCGAGCCAAGTGCAAAGGGTCCCAACGGTGAAGAGAAAGGCGACGCACAAGCTCGATCTCGCCTTTTGAGGAAGTCCTACTTTAAACGAGCCAGCCCCATCTTTGTTCCTGAGATATATGCCACACTTTGACCACAAGGGTGCTGACACAGTCGACATAAACATGGCTGCATGAAGGTCAATCGATGTCATGTCACGTCGGGACATGCAGGTGACACAGCTCACCACCGCAAAGAGCCCACCGAGGACAAGCAACAAACACCAGCCATCTACAGAGGAGGCGAGACACGTGTTTGTCTGTCTGCGAAGGCCATCCATCAGCTGTCCTGCTCTTCGTTCTGGAGTGTGGTCAGCGCATTAGCCAGCGCCACCGCCTGTTGAGCCGCACTCTGCAGCTGCTTGGCGTCAGGCGCCGTCCGATGACGACCTCTACACACACCACACCACACCACATCACGCAACCTCACCCACGACGATCAGGTGTGCACTTCTGCTGTCTGGATGCTCACTTTCTCGCAGCAGCCATGAGTTTGGTGGGACTGTCAGTGTCTCCTTCCTCGCCCGGCTGGCCAGCCTCGTCTCCCCCTTGATGGTCTTGCTTGAGCTGTCTGGACGTATTGGTTCGCCGGATACCGCCACCAGCAGCCTCTGAAGCGGGGTTTCTGGCGTCGGAACTCTCAAACAACACCCGTCGGACCTTTACCTGCACAACACAAGACGACACCAACCACCACTCACTGACCAAGTGGTGAATGGACACAAGGAGACATACATACCTGTTTTCCTGCGCCAGCGCGTCTGTGGCCGTCGTCTGTGACCTTGGCGTCGTCCACGCCGTGCTCCCCGTTGTCCCCTCCGTCAGCCGCCCTTGGAGCGGTCTTCGTGGGAGAGTCCGCCGACTTGTCTTGTGTTGTGGGTGGTGCGGCAGTGCGGCTGCTGAGTTGGGCTAGATGAGAGAAATGGGCGGTCGTGCGCAGACCTGAGGGACACATTTCCCGTGTCTGCAGGGGGGAGGCTTCTGCATTGTGTCGACTGACTTACCCATCTGCGTGGCCGTCTGAAGGTCTGCGACACCGATGCTATCCCACCTGTATAGCCAGCCGTGAGACAACCGACAGACAGTAGGGAGTGATGCCTGGACCGTTTAAATACCTACCCACCTTTTGCCGACAGGTAGTTTTCGAACTCCTGTCTCAGGGTCAATCTCGCCCTCATGCCTGATGCGCTCACGCTGAGACTGGATCGACTGCACAGAAAGAGGACGGACGTCATGTCAGTCAGGAGTGGGTTACTCTCCAACACCTACCGCAATGAGGGGTACGCTGGTCTTGAGCGTGCCCAGCAACTCCTCAGCCTCTGTAGCCACACACACAGCCAGCCATGGCCATGGAGCCATCCCTCCCACTGTGTCTCTAGCTGTGTCGTTGCTTACTCGCTTCGCTCATTTCTGCGCCGCCCCGCTCCCCTTCCTCTTCTCTGTGTTGCGGCACGTCGGCAGCCACAGGCGCCACAGGAACAGAGGGCGGGGGCAGGTGCATCGTCGTCAGTATGCTCGATGTGGTCGTCGAAGACGTGTCGGCAGCCTTTGCCGGGGAGGGCAGTGTGAGAGGCACGTGAGTGTCGGAGCCGTCTGATTCGCTTGGGTGGAACCATGGATGGCTGAGCGCCTGCAGTGCCGACGCGCGCTTGGCGGCGTCGCGTGACATCATCCACTGAGCGAACAGAGCCACATACAGTAGTGTGGCTGGGCGTTATTGATTGATTTAGCCGCATACGAGGAGTAGGTCTCTAGCAGCCGCAGACACCGTGGCCCAGTTTTGGTGCCGGAACGACACACTGCACCTGAGACAGAGACACAGTGGGAGGGATGGCTTGCCATGGCTGTCTGTGTGTGTTACTTCAGATTGCGCCTGAGGATGTCCTTGACATTGTGGCCCCTGGTATAAAACGCGGACACTCACTTATGCACACACTATGGGCGGTCATACTTGCCTGAATGGAGGAAAGCCGACTGGTCGATGTGTGTGGGAGCAGAGACACATTTGTACAATGAGTGGCTGGCGATCTCTTCAGGTGTAGCGTGCGCTTACCGACCCAGCATGATGTGAAGAATGACACTGAGCCACACACAGGCAAGCCGGACAGACAGATATGCAAGACCTTGCAGCATCTCTCCCTCTTGCCCCCCCCCCCGTACCCAGCGCCAAATACGTCGGCCTTACAGGCATAGGGCTTGTCCTCCAGGATCTCCGGAGCTGCGCACGCACACCCACACCCACACAGGCACTCCTCCTCTGCTGTTCAGTGGCCTATCTGTCCGTCCCCCTCACCGACGTATCCCGGCGACCCGCATCGCATCTTCATGGCTTGCTCCTGACTCAAAAATGCCGCCAATCCAAAATCGATCAACTTGATGGAGGTGGGGTCGTCCTCGCGCTCTATGATCAGGTTCTCCGTCTTGAGGTCTCGATGGACCACCTCATGCTCAGCCAAGGTGACCAGTGCAGACAACAGACGACCGAGAGCTATGCGTGCCGACGGCTCATCGTATGGACCTGTAACACCATGGATTGCACCGAGCGGAAGGACTGATGATGTCTGCAGCTTGTCGAAGTCAGCTGACCGTGTTGTGCGATGTGGTCGAAGAGCTCGCCTCCCTTCAGGTACTCCAGAACAAGAAACACGTGGTTCGCTAAGCACACAAACAAGGGGCAGGTCGGCAGAGGTGTCACGCGTGTCTCAGTGTCTCTAATGCCGCCTTGTGTACCCCTCTCGTATGCCGCGAAGAGGCGGCTGACGTATGGGTGCTGAACCTTTCTCAGCACCCCTATCTCAGTTGCCAATTTGCTCTCCTTGATCCGCCTCTTGTCGATGGCTGATGGAGGCACACACACATGCTGTGCTGCACATGCTGTGCTGCAGCTGCCATTGTCTCTCTGTCAGGGTCACCCTTGACCACCACCTCCTCCCCTGTAAACAGGTGTTTCGCCATGTACACCTGAAATCATACGCACACACTTGTAAAACATCTCTGCAGCCCTCTTGCCGCCTGTCTGTCTGTCTGTCCTAATCTACACCGACCCACCCGAGCAAAGGACCCCTCGCCCACACATTCAGTGAGCTTATAGATGTCGCTGAACATCAGCTCAGTGCTGCCCAACTGCAGCAGGATGCTCCGCCACTTTGAGCAGTATGACCAGTCGGCCTCCGTGCATATGCTGGCGGGCGCCCACTTGCCGTCCGCAGGCGAGGCGCCTCTGAACGCCTCAAAGTCCTCCTCGCCATTTGTGGGGGCATGGGAGGCCGATTCACCACAAGCATCGGCAGCCACTGCCTGCATCAAAGATGGTTGAGGAAAGAGGCGCTGGATCGTCTGCGTCGTGCATGGCTTGAAATTCGTGTGTACCGGCTGTGTTGGGGGCGATACGATGGGCAGCGTGCTCTGTGCTGGCAGTGAGGGTGCAGGTGCTGGTGGGGCAGTGCACTGAAACTCGTGCTCGCCAGACCGGCTGATGAGGTACAGACAGGGGCTGCAGTCCAAGGCAGGCCCACATCCGTTCACGGCAGTGACGTATATATGGACAGGTAGGTGCAGTGCAAGCCTGTTTGTCCCTTAATTGTGTGCGTACGGTAGGTACCCCTTCTCAGTGATGTTGTTGACGAAGCGACCTGATCGTGAGATGCACACTCAAGTGGATCGGATGCGTCCGTGACTTGTTACTCTCTTTGATGGGTATGCGGAACTTGGCCTTGGCGTCGTGTGTCATGGACTCGTGACGCCAAAGCAACAGCTCAACTCCCGTGTCATAGGCACGGAAACTCACGTGAGTCGTCACGCCTGAACACAAACAAACCATGCCACTGAGACTATGAGTGTGCGCATCAACCGTACGTATACCTGTGACTTACCTGTGGCCAGCGGCAGATAGTAACGCTGCCTTTCCATGCCGAGCTCCTCATTCGAGCCGGAACGCTCCACCATGTTCTGATGCTTGCCAAGTCAACGGCATGGGTGGGGTGGGTGGGGGTTGAAGGGAGAAAAAACGGTATCAACGGTCTTCTGACTTTCTTCAGGTCCAAGACCCGTGCTATCTCCCTTCTGAAGTAAGCAACATGCACACCTGTGTGTTGTCAGTAAGTCCCATTTAGCCGTTTCAGGCAAACACCGGTCGAAAAGCCCGCTCTCATCTGCATCGATGTGTGTGTCCGTGGTTTCAGGCTCTGCAAAGGCCGCTGACGGCCGGCCGGCATCGACAACACAATGTTGGAGTTTGAGGAAAACTACCGCCGCATATCGACCCTCTTTGATGGACTGGAGCAGGAGATTGCCCGCCTGCACGCACTCAGACAGCAGCACATCGGGGAGGGGGAGGGGGAGGGGGACGAGCAGGGCGGCGTGCTGATGCTGGTGGACTTCATGCGACACCGGCTGCGCAAGCTCAAGTACCAGCTGGACGGCCCCTCACCCCAGCTGCTCGCCGAGGGTGGACATGCAGACGCACACGGATCCTTCCCAGCCACAGCCACACACAGCCAGCCATCCTCCGGCACACAGACTAAGAAGCTGCCCAGATACGAGAAGCAGTCGATGCCCAAACCCCTGACAGATCTGCACAGAGAGAGAGGGCAGCAAGCCATCGGGAAACAACAACAGCAGGCCACACACACACACGCGGTTCCGGCGATTGAGGAGGGGAGGGGCGTGGTTGCGGGGATGGTGCAGCAGCGTGTGACACCAGGGGGCGCTGGTGCTCGTGCACCGAGCAGCGGTCATTCGAGCCGGTCTCGGCTGATGCAGGGTGTGATTGGGGGTGGGCTGGAGGGGCCGGAGGGCGGGGAGGCCGACACGGGCCAGCCGGCTGTGGAGGACATCATACATGTCCGGAAGAGAGAGACCACACGCACCCGCACACCGGCGCGCAGATATCTGTCCCTCTCTCTCTCCATGTTCGCAGGGTCTGCTGACGGTGTCTCCCCACCTGTCTTTGCCAGCCACACTGGAGGTGTCGGAGGGCGTGCTGAGGCGCCTCGTCCAACAGGCCCTCGCCGCCGCATACAAGTCGTCTGGTGCGTCCGACGACACCATGTCGCTGCGGTCCGCCGACCAGGGGCAGGAGATCGAGTGGGGTGTTGCCGTCAGGGTCTTCTGCTACGACCCGCTGCTCGACACACTCTCGGGCATCGACAAGTACCCTTCCCCCAACCCCCCACACCACACAACAGTACACTTTCCTGTTTTTTCCTCCTGTTTGTCTGTTCTGTGAGGCGGAGCAGCGAGGGCGGGAGTCTCGAGACGATTTCCCTAGCTGTCCATGAGGACGGCGGCAAATCGCCCCCTCTTTTGGGCGACCTGCCGTCGGTGCGGTCGTGTCTGCGTGGGGGGGAGGTGGTGCAGAAAGTCGTCACCGTCAGACAGACACCTGCATCTGCACCACAGACACAGACACAGGGACAGGCAGACACGTCATGCGGGAGTGAGGCGGGCACATGCACATACACCACTGGTGCTGGGAGCGACGACAGGGAGAGAGAGAGGGAGAGGGAGGGGGAGGAGGTCACGTACCAGCTGCTGGTCTTCTATCGACTAGAGGTGGTGACAGACAGACACCTTCATCAAGCTTCGCACACACGTAGATCTGTCGTCGGTGTGTGTGTGTTTGATGCAGTCTCGGTGTGGCGAGGCCTGCGGGATATGTCAGATCATGCTGACGCCCCCCTCTGTGACACACACCGGTGGGGGTGGCGTCGAGGGCGACATGAGCAGCAGTGCTACCACCGATGCTATGGAGATCCCCTGGCGGCCGTCGTTCGACGCACAGCTGGCTTGCCTGCTCACGCAGGTCCGTGTCTCTCTCTCTGTCTGTGCATCAAAACAAGAGAAAGAAGGCTGGGTGTGGTGTGGGTGCAGATTGGGTTGATGGTGGAGCGGTCGGTAGAGTACCACAAGGTGGAGAGGCGGGAGGAGGAAGTCGGAGAACTCTGTGAGTGAGCATAAACAAACACGGAGACACACCTACCTTCATGGACCACGTGTGTGTCCGTGTGCGTGTGGTGTGCCAGACCACATTCTGATGCCCCTGTTCTCCACCCTCCAGAATAGAGCCAGGTAGGTAGGTATTTTCTTGATTGCCTGCAGAGCTTTCCTGACTGACCCCGTCTCTCTCTGTCCCCCATCCAATGCAATGAACATTAATTAGGCTGATCAGCCTGGCCACCGACACCGCTCAGCGGCTGCTCAACGTCGAGGCCGTCATCATCTTCCTTGTCGACTTCAACAGAGTATGTAATGTACCGTACCACCCAACATCTATATCCTTGTCTCTCTCTCTCTGTCCGCATCATCTGCTTCTGCCTCTCAGGACATCATGTGGACCTACAAGGACGGCCACGAGCGATCGTGGCCCCTGCGCGACTCAGATAACCCCGCTGCACATGTGGCCATCGCTGGCAGACCCGTCATCCTACACAACAGCCCCCCCCGGCCACCCCACCAGCAACAGCAACAGCAGCAGCAGCAGCAGCCCCCCTCCGCCTCATCCCGTTTCAAGATGGAGTTCCTGGAGAATTACCACGTCGAAAGTGCCCTCTTTCTGCCCATCTTTCAGCCAGACTGGGATGACACCTCTCTTGGGAAAAAGGACGAGGCCAAGGGCGGGGGGACCGTCACGCCCAACCAAAGGCAGCAGGTCATCGGCGTCATGGCCGCACTCAACTCACACAAAGGTCGGTCGCTCGGTCGGGAGGTGGGGTGGCCGACAAAGGAAGGATCCCCGATTTTCTCCTTCCTTCCATCAGGCACCTTCTCCCCCCGCACCCAGAGCCTGGCCAGCGAGTTCGGTCGACTCAGCGGCATGGCCATCCACCTAGCGTCCGACTGGGCCAAACAAGCCGATTGGGTCACATCGGTGGGCCATCACCGAGACGCTTTGTTAGTGGACAAGCGGGGGGCTGAGAAGGTCAAGGAGCGGTCCCACCAGCTGATCCAGCTGTTCGCCGAGGTGTCTGACTGCATCGACCCACGGACGACGCTGCACCGGTTTGTGACGTCTTGCAGGAGTGCGATGGGTGTGGCGGACTGCTCGTTTGTGACGCTGTCTAAGGGGATGCTGCTTGCGGAGACGGCTGTCGAGGCCGACGTGGGGGCACTGGGCGAGTGCGTTCGGTAGGAACGCACGCAAAGACAGGAGCGAGGCAGGGAGAGAGAGAGAGGGGGGAAAGGGGATGGGAGGGAGGGAGGGAGGGAGGGAGGGGTCGAAGGTTCTCTTGAGATCCATCTCTTTATCTGTCTCTTTGTCCTTCTGTGCTGTGTGTGTTTGATAAACAAAGGACGGGTCAGCCGGTGCACGTGGAGAACCTTCTAGAGGACCCCCGCATCTTTGCCGACTCCGACCTGCCCTCATCCCTCGACCCGGAGGAACTCATGGACCTCCTCTACGTGCCCCTTTTCTCTTCTGTCGCCGCCAATGACCCCAACGACCAACAACCACAGCCACCGCAGCACCAGCACCAGCAGCATCAGGAGCATGTAGTGGGTGTGTTGCGGCTGGCCGCCACTGTGCCGGGGGTGTTTGACGACGTGTACGTCAACTCTGTGACCACGAGTGTGCGGCTGCTGCAGCACATATGCGACAGGGGCCAGAGGCTGGAGCAGCTCGCCGCAATGTTCGAACACAGAGAGGTCCGTGGTGGGTCGGTGGATGCGCATCGCTCTCTCTCTGTCTTGCTGGGCGGCGGATGGTTTCTGGGGTTTCTGTCGTGCAGGTGTCTAGCGCCCTGACCTTCCGCGAGTTGTTCCGTGTGGTGACGAGCAAGGCCAAGTCGATCCTTCGGTGCAGCCGCACCTACCTTTTGCTGGCCGATGAGTCCCTGGGTAGGGAGGAGAGGAGACACAGCCCCGTGTGTGTGGCTGAGACATGCATGTCTCTCTGTCTCTGCCTGTGCTGCATTCATCGCACGTGTGTAGGTGTGTTGTGGTCGTTGGTCGGTGCGCACCACGAGTCGAGGATTGAGGTGACGCTCGACAGCAAATCCATCGAGGGGCAGGTGGGCCGGGGGGGGGGGGGGGGG